AGATAGATAGATAGATAGATAGATAGATAGATAGATAGATAGATAGATAGATAGATATAGATAGATATAGATAAAGAGATAGATAGATGTAGAAAGTCCACACGCCCTTCTCAAAATGCCAGATTTTTAATATGTAAACAAATCAGACCAGGATAAATTACTTCAGAATTTCTTCCACCTTTAATATAGCATAATAGCTGTACAACTAGCTGAATGTCTTTGTCTGCAACTAAACTTCCACTGGTTCTGTTTCTCTCTCCAGCTCCTTCATGGACCCTCATACTCTGCTCTAAGAAGTTGGAAGATCCTTTGGAACAGATTTGAATACACAGCACAAATGCAGTAGAAACAGTTTGCATATGGATTCTGCTCTTAATTTTTTTCCTGGAGGAAAAAAAAGATTACCAAACAAATGACTGTAATTTTGATGAAACTAATCTTTATCAATTCAGTCATCTCTTTCAGATTTATATTAAAATCTAAAAGTAAAGAATTCTATGAGCTCCAGGCACATTCTTAGAAGATTTTTACATTTTGATATATGTCTATATTTAGAATTATATTGTGTGCAAAATTCTTTATATATTAAATGAAGAGACAATTATTTTAAAATGATGTAGTAATATGCAATTGCATAGGAGAGGTATGTGAAATCGTATTTAAAAAATGGGGGTTACTCAATTTTTTTCTGTTACTATTTTTTGTTGAAATTATAGTAAGACTGCAGTTAACTTTTTGTAGGTATGCAGCTTTCATAGGAATCATTAATGTTTTTTAATAACTAATATAGCAGAGATATACTCAAACTTGCTAATTTATGTAAGATGATTAAATATGCAGAATGTTGGATAGCTGATGATAAAAATGCTTTTAATATGTAAAGAAAGCAAGAAGATATGTGAAGTTGTTTATTTCTTAATTTCCTTCATTAAATATTGGCAGAAGAAATCAAAATTTGTACTAGGTATTTTATTTATAATAAATACATATGACTGCTAAGTTTATAATCAAGGCAGCAGTCCTAAGAACACAATATATTGAACAAATTGGTGTATCTTGCAAGGTTGATCTATTATCTGATTTCTGACTCCCTGGTTTTCCACATATGTTTTTATTATTGTACTCTTATATATCTAACTTATCTGTATTTTGTCTTGTTATATATTTACGTCATGTTCTTGATAAGGTCTTATGACTATTCAATTAAATAAACAAACAAACATTTATTTATTATAATGCTTACAGTGTCAAGAAACATGACGTACCTTAGCTTAAAAATGCTAGCTAATAATTCAAATATTTTTAAAAGATATACAGATAGTTCTCAGCTTACAACCATAATCAAGCCCAACAATTCTGTTCCTAAGTGAGAAATTTGTTAAGTGAGATTTGCCCCATTTTATGACTTCTCTTGCCATATTTGTTAAGTGAATCACTGCAGTTGTTAAATTGGTAACACGGTTGTTAAGTGAATCTGGTTTCCCCATTGACTTTGCTTGTCAGAAGGTTGCAGAAGGGGATTATATCCCAGGACACTGCAGCCGTCATAAGTATGAGTCAGGTGTCAAGCATCCTGATCTAAATCACATGGTCATAGGAATGCTGACTTATGACCGTTTTTCATAGGTGTGAAAAACGGTCATAAGTCACTTATTCCAGTGCTGTTGTAACCTTGAACAGTCACTAAGTAAAATGTTGTAAGTCGGGGACTACCTGTATTTACATCTTGTTGCAAATCCACAACAAATCTATGCAAAAACATGGGAGGTTGTGCAATCTGAGAATGGTGCAACTACTCTATGACCTTATGATATCTGCCCGCTTGTGCAGACATTGAAAGGTAACAATCAGCTAAGCTCCTGCTCCAACAAGGGTCTTTTTGCAGCATTTTCTCTGGAGCTTCTAAGCAGAGTGGCTTTACATTTGAAGGACTCCTGACTCACCTCCGCTCTTGTAAGTTCTGTCAGTGTGCCATGTTGCAAAATGTAATAGGCCTTTTTACCATCCGTTTCATTTTTCAGAGATGATTGTACAACTAGCTTTTCTTTTCTGGCCTGAGTCATTGGTCTGGTCTCTCTGACTTACAATAAGAAATGAAGGACGGCAGTAGTTGGAATGTTGATTCTTCGATTTTCCCAATGACGACCTTATCCACCAAAACTCTGAGAATCAGCAAAGAAGAATTGAATGGAGGCTCTAGCACAGGGTGAGAAGAACAATTGCCCATCGTAATAGAAGTAGCCAAGATGAAAAAGTGGAACCATTAAATCATTCTCAGTGTAATCTGTCACATGAGATTCATGTTCTATTACAGGGGTCCCCAAACTTGGCAACTTTAAGACTTGTGGACTTCAACTCCCAGAATTCTCCAGCCAGCATAGCAAGTTTGGAGACCTCTGTTCTATTACATAATACCATCTACAATGTACATGTTTTGCATGCAGATTTAAATAATTCCCTGCAATGGGTTGGGACATAAAATATCATACAGGTATAAAAAAAACCAATTAAGTGATATGTTTCTCCAAACTGCTTAATATTTTGCACCTTCAGCCATATTTGGAGTTTGGTTCTGAATAATACTTTGGTTCTTTCAGCAATTCCCTGTTAGGGAATAGGCAAAATAAACTTATCAAGGTGACAAGAAGAATGCGTTTGACCATACTATTGATTTGAGGCGGGCTGCAGAGTTATTCCCAAATCTGCATGCCACTTTATTATATCACTTGCCCATGAACATTGCCAAGTTTATGCCGCTCAATCTCCCATTGACTTTTAATTGGTTCCATGATTAAAACAGACACTTTTTATTTCCCTAAAGCACATTGCAATTCATAAATATATATCTTTGGAAAGACAAACTAGACAGCACAGAAATGTACAAAATGATTTGACATGAATGGTATATTAACTGTCATTATGAATATTTTATATATTAAATGGATGTGGTAAAATCTCATGAAGCTTGACTCTATTAGAAATGGATGTTGGAATTGGGTCATGTTATTATTCTCTGGAGGATACAAATCAATGACTACTTGGTATTTCAGTTTTTCTGCTACAGGAACAATTTATTCTAAAAGTGTCATTATCACCAAAACCTTCAAAAAATATTTAACTTATGGTAAAATACATATAAGGAATTCATGTATGCATGAACTTTTTGTGTTGACATTAGGCAAGAATCATAACAATGTAATACTTCACATTGAGTTACATACTTTTGTGTCTTTAGCAGAAAATTAAAGGCACCATTAGGGCTCTGGTCCAGGGATTGAGGGAACAGGGGAATATTGAGTGCCACAAAGAGCCAATCCGGCTGCAATTTTCTTTATATGGCCCTTATTCCCTGCTGGATTATTTTGTTGATCCACAATTCTTCCTCTCTGGTTGGTTTCCTTTGCTCTCTGTTGCTGCCAGTTTCAGGACCTTGGATAGCTCAGGGCCTTGGTTAACTCAGGATCTGGATATGCTGACTCAGCCTACAACTGAGGAGCCCTCCCTTTGGTTAACTCCCTTTGAGTGTGCTCAGTTTTATGCTGGTCAAACTGTTCAGCTTCTGAATCTGAGGACTCAGAGAAATCTCTAACACTGACCTATTTATACAACTATTTATTGTATAAACTAATTATTCCATCATTAACATTGATAAACTATGGATGATTCTAGTGAAATACAGCTACCAGTAATTGATGTATATAATTCTATATGTACATGTACTCATTTATACATACCTTGGATTTTTTCCCTTAATTTTCTCTCCTCCCCATGTTTTTCTTACCTTTATAATTTTGACCATTGCTTATTTTTCTTTCTCTTTGTATTTACATTCAGTAAAAAGCCATTAAAACTCTTTTTTTAATTCAGATTTTTGTTTGAAAAAATAACAAGATTAATAGTAGAATATATGGGTTAGAGTTCTTTATTCTGGATGTCTGCCTGAGGGAACCAAAAATGGCAAGCATGATATTGTGATGCATTGCACATGTGCATACATGCAAAATCAACACATTTTTCCTTCTCACAATGATTGTTACGGTAGAACTTATTTTATATATTCTCTCCTATAATTAATAACACTTTGTTTTTAACTGTCGGAAACATTTGGAAAAATGCTGCAACATTGTTCAATAGATAAATTTCCACCTCAAATCTCAAATGATCTAACTGGTGTTTTGGCAGATAGTGCAAATATAGCACTTAGTGGTATTGTGCTATTGTATAACAGCTGTTAAGCAATAGCCAGGCAATTGTTTTGTTGGAACAGCACATTTTATATAAGATTTGTAACTAATGTAATCATTTACATTTCTCATTAAAACCTACTTGCTTTTATGATGTCAACAATTGCACTGAACAAAGTGAGTCAGTATTAAGCTTTTTATGAAAACATGCACATGGCAAAAAACTGACTATTCTTTCATTGTTAATGGCCTATTTTTTTAATCTGTGTAAAATGTAGGGCAATGTAATCTTCACACTTTTTGTAAGCAATACTGTATCCATTAAATGTTGAATGCACAATATGTTCACATTTGAAGTATGGTTCAGGCTTCAGAGCTGCTTCTCTCAATGGACTTTATAAATGGCAGATGAGACTACAAGATATTGTTTTACTCTTAGCTAAATGGACTTTCAAGACATTGTTTTCAACAAAACATATAAAAGAAAAATTGGAAAACCAACTGTGGAGATGTTACTGTGCTAAGAACATGTTACACTGCCTATTCCCAAGAAAAAATATTTTGTGAAATTTGGCACATATTTCAATTGCCTTTATGTTTTCCTTCTGTTACAATTTCTCAAAAGGAGTCCACAATCCTAATAAGTGTTTCCAATTTTACTGCCACAATATCCCACTTGTATTGTTTTATCTTTAGAGATGTTAGTTTTTCACTGCAGAGATAGGAATTCAATAATGGCTTTCACTTGCCCATACCTGATGAGTCATGATCTGCCATCTTTTAATTCAATATTGATAGTTCAGTTTATATATTCCTTCTGGTTCAGATGCATCTTGCACATTTCGGATAAAATGTTGGTTTTAATCCACAATGAAATTCAAAACACCCACTTGTCAACATGTCTTTGCATGAAGACAAAAGAACAAGCAAATCTTTGTTTTTTATCTCAACCAATGTCAGGGCTATGTGCAATTATATGCTTTTTCAATGTCCTTTAAAGATCAAAATCAGGCAAGCAATTGCAGAGGAACAATAAAACATGGATTACAAATAAGTGTTAAAGACATCTATTTATTAAGCTAACACTGAATTACAGCATTGCTGGAGGAAGGTCACAACATAAGAGTACTGGATAGATACTCTCTTAAGGAAATAAGTGAACTAAAGTTGAAATGCTGTTCTAATATTATAAAACAATATTATAAATCGGTGCAGTAGTGTTTCTGCCCTAAACAATTTGATGCTTTTCATTTCAGTGACAGGTTAAAATTTACATGGAAAGGGAGCCCTGAAAAAAAGGAAAGATGCAATTAGTAAATAAATTAAAATGCATATCAAATTAATACTCCAAAATACAGGCTAAAAGCATGATTCAAAATCTTGCATTTTGGTAACTCTTATAATAAATAGTAATGATTAATTTTTTGACATTTGTGAGGCTGCAATCCTGCACATCCTTTATGGAAAATAAATCCTGTGACCACCAGTGAGTTATTTCTGAGTAGACATACATAAGATTGGATTTTTCCTTTAATTCCACAGATTATGAATAATTGTTTTCAGAGTTTTTCCCAGCTTTGTAAATTTACTTTTTCAGATAGCTTTGTCAAACAATGTAATAAAAGTTGTCCAAACAGTGTTCAGCCTATTTGAAGAGACTAAAATGCATTTAGGCTTATTTTTGTCTTCTAGTTTTAGTTCTTAATTTCACTTTTTTTCTGATTAAACTGGAAGCACAAATCAAATTTCACTGAGAAAAATGCAGTGCAGTTAAAGTTCAAGAAATTGTCATAACCTCTGCAAATTATCAGAATAAAGTTGATAAGAATTTATCATGGAAATTGGATTGTAAATAAGATAAATAAAGTTGAGTATACGATTATGTTTTCTCAACTCATCTTGCTTTAAAACTTGTAATGTTTACTAACACCATCATACAAGAAAATATACTCTTATTTTTAATAGGTATTAGGGAATCAGGATTGTAGTTTGAATGTATTTACTCCAAAATGATCTGTACTTTATGAATACATATTTTCAAGCAAATATGTATCTATTTTTATCTCAGTTCTTATCTCAGATCCTTCTGTTAATTAAATGGAAAAGATTTGGAATATTAGGATTTCTATTTCACATCTGTTTTTTATTTGGGCATTAATTTTTATTTTATTTTTTATAAAACTACTTATGATAAATCTAAAGCAAAGGGTATTAAGAGTTGTATATTAGTCATTATTATTCTTTATAAAAAATTTTTTCCAAAACATATACAATAACAGTATAGGACAGGAGACAAAATACAAGAACAAAAGGACTTTCTTCCCAAACTACAGACATTCTTTGACCAAAGAAAGTGCTTTAAACAGATATAAGCATCATGAATTTATATACCCCCAAAATCTATTTTTAAGGACTGTTTTATAGAGAATTGTCTCCACAACATAGAAACTACATAGAATTAGAAATATAAAAAGAAAAATTATTTATTTTACATTTGAAAACTGGCTCCCAAGAAATGTAACACACAGCAAAATATTTAAACAAGCGTACCTATTATAAATTAAATGAAGAATACATTTCATCTGGGTAGAAGTGAGAAAAAGAGGATGGTCTAGATCTTCCCCAAGTCCTACTCCAGCACCTTGTTTTTATTTATTTCTTTTTTTGGATCTGTTCCTGGCTGTTTTATAGAGAAAATATTTGGTCAGATGAGGCCATTTGTACTAAACTAATCATTTAACTGTTTCATTGTTCTTGAACTCTTTTTTTTTTTTAGTCTCCATCAGTTATGAGAAATATGTATCCTAATTCTAAAGGGTCTGAATATACTCGAATCAAATTGAATCTTTATTACAGTCAAATAATAAATAAAAACCATAACAAAGAATATGTCTCAAAGCAAACCAGGCCTAGAACTCCACTGTTGGCACTATATATTATGATTACAATGGGAAGCCCTCGAGGTCTCCCATAGGATTTATGCTTTCTAGAAGAGAACAAAGGTTGCAGACCTTCTGGTTATTGAATCTGAGGTCCAATTAAAAGAGCATAACATATATTAAATCAATGCTTTGCATCTCCTATGACTTTTCCTTGGTTGATTTTGAAACTTAAGACATAAGTGCTGATCTCAATGATGTTGGGCCAGATCTAGCAAGACGCATTATTGATAATCATCTGGAGTGGATTGATTCAACAGTGTAAAAGTTGTGTAAATAAGTAAATAAATAAATAATGTTGAATTTGGCTACATTGTTTTTCTTCTTCTTCTCATTTTGAACTGCTTTTGAACAGTTAGAAGGGTACTTTTGACTGAACTTTTCAAGCCATAATAATAATAATTATTCCTCTAAAGCTAGATATATTTTTTTCTGAGGTAACCATTGGTGAGTACTTTGAGAACTGCTGAAGTAATCTTGACCTCTCAAAGAAGGCTTTAAAAAAAACCACCCCTCCTCTGCCTCCCATTCACAAACTGTTCTTTTCTTCTTACTGTCCCTTATTTCTCTCTGTTTGTGGTTTGTAACAAATACCAGCCCAGGACTGTAACTGTGCTGCTTCTTCCCTTCCTTTGATTCAAACTGCCAAACCAAACACGGCTGGGAGTTCAGATCTTGACAATCATCTGGGAAAGAGTGGCTGGCTGGGGCTTTCTTCCTTATCAACAGCCAGCTGCTGCTTTGAGATAACAAAACCCTGCTTGCTTTCTACTGGACTGGTTTCCTTTACCTTTCCAGATGGATCACCAGGCTTCCTCAAAGCCAGAGAACAGAAATTGGTCCCGCAGCAGGGACCCAGAGGGAAAAGAGAGATTATTCGTTTCTATTAAGCTGATGGAATAGTTAGCTTTCTCCTGGGGCTGCCAAGCAGATCTAATATTTTGTATTGCCTCAGGATCATTTGCTTCCTCCTGGGGAAAGTTCTTGGAAAGGGCAAGAAGGATTTTTGCAAGCCTTCTGGCAAATCGGGAATTATTCCCCCCCCCCCCCAATATATATTGATGAATTGTGGAATGATTTAGAAACAAGGCTCGTTGTAAAGCTAAGCTTGTATGTTTTTAATACTGCTGGTTGGCTCAGGCGAACCACTGAGTATACCGCGTGAGCTTATCGAGAGTGAGTCCCAGTCCCAACTTCTGAAACAACACACACAGCACACACACCGCTACCATCAGGAATACCCAAGAGCTTTATAGGGGTATGTTTTGAGCCCATCCCCAGCATCTCTTTATGCTGCCGAAACACATAAAGGCAACCTAGGTCCTGATTTGGTTTGGTTTCTTTGCGGAAGCCAGGAGCAAAAACCTTCCAGCAACGCTCAGCCAACTTTTCACGCGGGACCGATCCAGTGGTCCTCAGCTTGATGCCAAGCCCAGACGATAAAGCCTTTGCCGATAAAGAAGAGCAGACTCGCGGGCCCGGGACTAGACTCAAGGCTCCGGAGCGTAGGTAAGCGGGGAAAAGGTGGGAGAACCGGCCAGGCTGTCCAAGATCTCATCCCTTGACAAGGAAGGAAGGAGCGTCCAGCCGAGCGGACCTGCTTAGAAGCTGAAGGGGGTCAAAGGGAGAGCCGTCTGTCTCTCGGGGCCGCTGTCGCCCCCTCTCCTTGCCCCCCCCTCCCCTGCTTTCTCTTGGCCCAATCTCTCCCCCCTCCCCGCTCCCTTCTACTCCGCTCGGCCCGGCCGGGGAGAGTCAGAAAGCTGCCCTCAGAGGGTTGTAATCCTGGAGGTGCAAGTCCCGTTGCGGTAGACGCTGCCCGACTCTCCGAAGTTGTCGGCGGGAAAGTCCTCCACGCTGTAGGCCCTGCTCTTGAGGGCGGTGGCGTAGTAGTCGACCGGCTCCTCGGCGGCGTTGTCCATCCAGCGAAGGCACAGGAGCCTCTGGAAGGAGCGCTTGAAGTTGTCCGAGAGGAAGCCGTAGAGGATGGGGTTGGCGCAACTGTTGGCGTAGCCCAGGATGACGGAAAGCTGGCTGATGGTGGCGTCGTCGGGCTCGACGAAGAGGTTGACCAACTGCACGACGTAGAAAGGCATCCAGCAGATGACGAAGACGGTGACCACCATGAGGACCATGAGCGTGATCTTCCGCTCGGAGCGCTTGCGCTGCTGCCAGCCGGCCTTGAGCGCCACCACCCGCATCTTGGCAATGATGAGGATGTAGCAGAGGCTGATGGCCACCACGGGGAAGAGGAAGCCCATGAGGAAAGTGTAGACGACGAAGACCACCAGCCACTTCTGCTTAGGCTCGGGCATCATCATGTTGCAGGCCACCGTGCCGTCCGTGTTGGCCTTGGTCCGGGAGAAGATGAGGATGGGCAGAATGATGACGAGGGCCAGCCCCCAGACGGCCAGGTTCACCATCTTGGCCACCGTGGGCCGTCGGTAGCGCGACGCCTTGATGGGGTGCACCACCGCGATGTAGCGGTCCACGCTGAGCACGGTCAGGCAGTAGATGCTGGTGAACATGTTGACCGCGTCCACGCTGAGCACCAGGCGGCAGAGCAGCGACCCGAAGGGCCAGTGGTGGAGGAGCGTGGAGGTGACCAGGAAAGGCACGCTCAGCATCAGCAGCTCGTCCGCAATGGCCAGGTTGAGGATGTAGATGTTGGTGGCCGTCTTCATCTTGGCGTAGCGCAGGATCACGTAGATGACCATGGAGTTACCGCACAGACCCACCAGGCACACCACGGAGTAGATGAAGGAGATGAGGATGGCGCTGCCGCTGCCCGGCGACTCGCCGCCCCCGCTGCCGCCCCCGCCGCCGCCGCTCACCGTGCCGTTGGGGCCAGCGGGGCCGGAGGAGTTCCTGCCAGCCGCTGCCGAGTCCATGCCTCCAACAGCGCCCGCCACCAGCCTGGCGCAGGGGCCATCCTCCGCCCCGTCGGCCCGAGCTCAGGGCGGCGGGAGAGGCGCGAGGGGTGCCCGGGCAACCCGGCGGCAGCTCAACATCCTCTCTCCTCAGGGCACAGCCTGACGGCGAGCGCCGCCGTCCTTTGCTCTGACAGCCCCGGGCCAGGCGCGGGCGCAGGGAGAGCGGGGGGGGAAAAAAACAGGACGGAGCTGCGCGCCGCCTCCAGCCCAACTGGCATTAGTTGCAGCTCGTCGGCTCGCAGGGATGATTAATAGGAGGCGAGCGGCGCGTCAGCACCTACGAAGAGCGAGGGGGAGAAAAGAGGTGGGAGGAGGACAAGGCGGGGAGGGCGCCCCCTCCGCCTCCCTCCCTCCCCTCCCTCCCCCGCTTCCCGCCAATCTGCTCCGGCAAGAGAAGACTTTCCCTGCTCAGACAGAGCCCGCCGCCGCCGCGTTGAGAGAGCCAAGCCAACAAGTGCTAATAGACTCCCTGGGGCGGGGGGGTGGGGGGCAGTTCGTCCCGCTTCTGGCGAGAGAGCCAAAAGCCGAGTGGGAGCCCGGAGGAGGGCGTGTTTCCCCCCCCCCTCTTCGGAACTTTTGGTTTGTTTGTTTATTCAAAACGCTTCTATCGAGCTCTGGCCGGCTCCAATCAACCATGAAAACAACATCAATAAGAAAACGAAGAATACATACAGCTGTGAAATGTTAAAATCCTGAATACTAAAGTTAAACCTTTCATAAGCCGTGGCCTCTAAAATCTTCACCCTGTCCCGGCGCTTGGGTGAAAAGCCAGACCTTCAGTGCTTTTGGGAAGGCCAGGAGGGCAGAAGCTTGCTTTCAATGCAGCTTCCCAAGGCTGACTTACCCAAACCTGCCACCCTGCCTCTTTCTTGCCTTCCTGTCCCCATGTCCCTTCGGGTCCATCTCACCGGTTGCTGTGTCCTCATACTCTTGGGTAACGCCAATATCGCCCTCCTGGCTACTTCACCTCTCTCCCAGCAAGGATGGTCTTGCCATGTGCCTTCAAGGTGGGACTCTGCTTTCTTTTCGGCTGGGCAGGATGAAAACATTTGGGCAACTATCAAAAGAAGCCTTTATTAAAAGTCCTAAGCTTGCCTGAACTGCAACTATGAGGATCAGCTTCATTTTCTGCCCTTTCTTCTGTGTACATTTTCTCTTTGGAACTGGACCCAGCAGGACCCATCTTCATTGTGTGTCACCACAATTCCTTCTCTCTCCCTCCCTCCCTCCTTCCCCCCTCTTCCCCTCCCTCCCCTCCCTCCTTCCCTACTCCCTCCCTCTCTCCCCCTCCCTCTCCCCCTCCCTCGTTCAATCTCTCTGCCACCAGGGAGCCCAATCTTACTGAGAATGTTGTGCTACTCCCAGAACTGCAGATGGTATCTGTTCGTTGGCTTAGACCAGGGGTCTATTATGTAATAGAACAGAGGTCTCCAAACTTGTTATGCTGGCTGGAGAATTCTGCGAGTTGAAGTCCACAAGTCTTAAAGTTGCCAAGGTTGGACACCTCTGGCTTAGACTATCACATGGTGGTGGTGATTTGGAGGGGGCCAACTGTGTTAAGCATTTCCGAGCATGTTGTTGTTGACATTTCTGTTCAACTGACTGCCCTTTCTTTCCTTCTGGGTGTTGAGAGCAAATGAGTAAACAAGAAAAGGCAACAGAAAATAAAATCTATCCGTCCTTATACCTTTCCTTTGGACACAACCGCCTTTTCTCAGCACATAATTACTGGTTACTTCAGTAATCTGTTTTCTGGGTTCACGCAGTAGACCGAGCAATACATTAACAAAATGCACTGGGTTTACAGCACATCCTATGATGTACATACACAAACAAACCCAAACCAAGGTTAAATTCAAGGAGGCTTCAAATATTGGGAGCTGCTCAGAGTTTCTTATCAGATGGGTGGATATGTAAATGTTTTAAAATAAATAAATATTGTGTAAACAATAATAATAATAATTGCATGCCTGCGGTTAGCTCACATCAATCAAATGAAGAAATTGCAATGACATCTTTAGAAGATAAAACATGACAAGCACTATACATCAAATGGAATGGAATGAGGGGGTCTCACTCTCTCTTGCTTGGGTGAAGAGTCAGGTCTTTGCCACTCTTCTGAACAACAACAGAGTGAGGATCACCCAGATCTTGGGGGGGGGGGAAACCTCATTCCAGAAGGGATGCGCTGCTACAGAATGCAGAATGCTAAGTTTATAATTCCTGGATAACCATCTTGTGAAAACAGCTTCTCTTTTCCTTATACTTTGGCCATTGCAGTTCTAAGAATTAAGACCTGGAAAGAAGCAGGAGAGAAATTCATGAGATACAGATGCCTTTAATTGTTGCCTCAACCATGAAAGATGCTTCCATACTACCCAGCAGTAACACAGTACGAAAAAGAATGATATTATCTCCTTGGGAATTGCAAAAGGGGATAATTGCTTGGAATTTTAACTATCCCTTCCACACAGCCGCAATATAAGAGAATGTTACAGGTCTCCATCGGAGATAATTGACACGTAAAATGTTTCTTTTTTAAAAAAACAACAACTGGATGTTTTTTCCCAAATAGAAATTTTTTAAAAAAAGATTCTTAACAAAGGGAAGATTGTTTGCTTGGATGAAGCTAGATGAGAAAATGAATATTTTCCAGCTATGAGGTAGTTGACTGTTTTGGGGTGTCAAATATCAGTTTATGCTCTAGAATAAAGAAGAACTCCCAGATATGATACTTGATTAAGAAAATAATTGTGCACGACAAAAAGAGCCAGGTTTTTGCTAAGGATGTGTACTAGATCCTGTTAGTTCTGGAAGGAAAAGTGGACTCCTTTGAACGGTTTCCTGTGACTCTGCATGATATGAAGTGGGCTTTCCTCCCCACTGTATAAAACTTAAACTGGCATCTTCACAAAACCAGCAAATTGCCTGAAAAATACCGTTACATTGCTACAGGTTTTCATACATAACGTATGAAACGCAAAACGTAATCACCGAACCGATAGTAACTGTGCTGGTTAAACAGTATATAGTTAGTTGGGAATGGGAGCTGTCCCCTTAAGGGAATGCTTCATGGGAAATGTAGTTAATGCCTCATGGGAGATGTAGTTCATGTCATGTGGTCATATCTGTAATCCTGATTGGTCACTGAAGTGACCTCTAGTTGGGTTGGGAGGAGTTTCAGTCATTCTTGCTTGGACCCCAGCATTGTGCTGGAGTCTTTCCCTTTGCTGTATTGTTATGGGATAAAGATAACCATCTTTTCACACTATGAAGATGACTATGCAAAGATTGGACATTAGACGAATCTCAACATAACTGTGAGTTATACCTTGAGGATGCCTAATAAAATCCAATAAAGAAACTTTGTATGGAAGCCTTTGTAGAGTTTAACTGTCTCTATATTCAGCCAGAAAATAAGAGACAGCACAGTAACACTGGTTGAATCCCACCCCTGTGCATTATCAATGCTTTTCTTTTCTTGGATTATTTTTTCAAATTATGCTTCTATTATGACTACTTGCAGTTTATGAACCCCGTATGATATGGAAGGATTGTGTATGCAAGTGTTAAGCCCAAATTTATACTTTTGAAATATGAAAAAATCTGGTCAAGTATGTTCCTCAATCTCTTTTAATGTGCATTTCAGTTTTCCTGATGCATACACTTGAGAGAAAGCAAAAATAAGAATAGGGCTATTATTATTCCTGCTGTATCTCTCAAACGTTAGTTAGTAATTTAATATTATTTAATTAATTAGATCTACTCTGCTCAAGTTAATCATAATTAACATTAACTTTCAATCAGGTCAAAAGGAGATAATTTAATAAGTGCTATGCGCAAGTGATATATTTTAAACAAATTATTACTAAATTAAAAATTATAAATGAACTGACCTTGATGATATTCAGAACCCATGATGCATCCTACTGAAGCAAGAAACAATGTTGCTGTTTCCTTCTTTATCAAAGCCTGTTTGTATAACATTACACGTATGGAAAGCAGTGACGATAATCATACTGTAAAATCAGATGCTAGAAAATGCTATCAAAATTCCAGATGACCTAGACCAGCCTTTTTGGCACTGAGTGCCCAAAGTGCATGTGCACCCCCAAAATGCAATTCACGTGCATTCACGTGTGCCGGCCCCCTATGCATGCGTGGCAGAGACCTGAAGATCAGCAGGTCAGCAGGAGGCATGTGCTCATGCATGGCGGAGCTGAGTTGGGGACAGCTCACGTGCCCACAGAGAGGGCTCTATGTGCCACCATTGGCATGCATGCCATAGGTTCACCATCATGGACCTAGACCATTCTACCTTCAGTTTTGCTGGACTTTCTGTGTATTTTGTGGAGTCTTCTGTTTATACTAATAGACCTGTTGTTTTTCTTCTTATATAGCAGAAATATTTCTCTATATTAACAGATCATTAGTTTAAAACAACTTAGAAGCCAGTAAAGTCCACTTTAGTGCCTAATCATTTCCTAAAGGAATCCTCCTCCTCCTCCTCC